ATTTTTCTGCTTGTTGTGTTGTGTGATAAATGTCTGCAGTACCTACATGAAGATGGCTACACAAAAAATGGGATAGTTGGTTGCACTCAACCAAGGCGTGTAGCAGCTATGAGTGTTGCAAAAAGAGTTAGTGAAGAGATGGAAACTAAGCTTGGAGATAAAGTAGGATATGCTATTCGTTTTGAAGACGTGACTGGCCCAAACACTGTTATCAAGGTAAACTGTTATGCTTTATGCTTTTACATAACATCCTGCTTTTCACCTGATAGTTACTATGTTTGTTGGCTTGCACTTGATTTGACAGACAATCTGTTTTCTCTTCACTGGTTCTGCCTGTGCTCATTTTGTTCCATTTCTTTCTGAACAGTACATGACAGATGGTGTGCTTCTGCGGGAGACACTGAAGGATTCTGATCTTGAAAAATATAGGTATGCATCTGTCTGTCCCAAAAAAGAGTCCTATTTTAAGATTTGTTTGTCTCAAAAACAGTTTCTTATTTGAACAAAAAACTAGTTTCATTATATCTAGTGATTTTATATAGAAAAGCATTCCAAACCACTTAAGTATGTTAACTTTAGTGGCACCATCGAATTATGATAAAAATACAGCTCTAATTGATAAATTCCAGTTGTTACACACTTGTACCTTGCTCTACTGTAAAATTTAAATTTAGAGGGTGTTTCTCTGTACTAGTGCTTATTGGCTTATTAGTGATAAGCAATTTCTAATTTATAATCTGCGTATAAGTTGAATATTGTTCTGTAAAGTAAAATGACTTAAATGATAGATATGTCATTTTGGGGATGTTCATAAATGGTGAGGGATAGTTTTGTAAATAATCTGGTCAAAATGGAGAAACAAAAAAACTGGTTCTAAAATAAGTAGGTAAGACCTACTCTTTTTTTGACTTACAAGCCAGCTTATAATCACAGAGAAACATGTCATCAGCTGACTTATAAGTTAAAAACAGATTATATGCACAGAGAAACACCCACTTAATATGCTAGATTTAAATGTTTCATGAGTTTTTTCCCCTTAAATGTACTAAATGCATTGTGCTTACATTTGTCTCAGTATCGTTGTAATGGATGAAGCGCATGAGAGATCATTAAACACTGATGTGCTGTTTGGCATACTTAAAAAAGTTGTTTCCCGGCGTCGTGATTTTAAGCTTATTGTGACATCTGCCACCCTAAATTCACGTAAATTTTCTGACTTCTTTGGGAGGTTAGTTCGTTGGTTTTATACTCTTTCAGCTTTTGATGTGTTGTCATGTGAAGAGAAAATATTTTATTGTTCATTTATAATGTACTACCACTAGTATATAACATTCATGCTATATAGCTGATTATTAGGATTAATTTGCGAGTGTTGCTAAATGCACACTTCATTTGGTTATATCCACTCCATTTATAATAAATAGACAAGTTTATCCTTTAGTTTTTTTAAAAGGGGAAGGAAATGTGAGCTAGCTGACAAGCTTGTCTATTTCATATAAATGGAGTGGATTTTGTCAAATGAGGTGTGGATTAAGATTTAAGCACCACCCTTAATTCAAGCAAAGTATGATGATGTCAAAGAAGTGATATAAGCCTTTTAGAAGGCGGTTTCACAGGAATGATTTGACTTGCAAGTCAATTCTTATAAATTATCTGGAATACTCTACAGCAAACATGTAATGATAATTTTATGAATCTGTTGCAGTGTACCGATCTTCAACATCCCAGGGAGAACGTTTCCCGTTCAGCATATGTACAGCAAAACCCCTTGTGAAGATTACGTGGAGGCTGCTGTAAAGCAGGCTATGACCATCCACATAACTAGCGCTCCCGGTGATATACTCATATTCATGACTGGTCAAGATGAGATTGAAGCTACATGTTATGCACTTCAAGAACGAATGGAACAGTTAGTCACCTCAACTAAGCAGGCTGTACCCAAGCTACTTATTCTTCCCATTTATTCCCAACTGCCTGCCGATTTGCAGGCTAAGATCTTTGATAAGGCAGAAGAAGGAGAACGCAAGTGCATTGTTGCCACAAACATTGCTGAGACATCCTTAACGGTTGATGGGATTTTCTATGTGATCGATACCGGTTATTCTAAGATGAAGGTGTACAATCCACGGATGGGCATGGATGCTCTCCAAGTTTTTCCGGTCAGTCAAGCAGCGGCAAACCAGCGAGCTGGGCGGGCCGGCAGAACTGGGCCTGGAACTTGCTACCGACTCTACACTGAAAGTGCATATCAGAATGAGATGCTTCCAAGCCCCGTACCCGAAATCCAGAGGACAAATCTTGGGAATGTAGTCTTACTGCTCAAGTCTCTCAAGATCTCAAATTTGCTGGATTTTGATTTCATGGACCCTCCTCCTCAGGAAAACATCCTCAACTCCATGTACCAGCTGTGGGTATTGGGTGCACTTAACAACGTCGGGGACCTGACTGATATTGGTTGGAAAATGGTGGAGTTCCCGTTGGACCCACCTCTTGCCAAGATGCTTCTCATGGGTGAACAACTAGAATGCTTGAATGAAGTTCTCACCATCGTGGCAATGCTTTCGGTACCCTCAGTTTTCTTCAGGCCCAAGGACAGGGCAGAAGAGAGCGATGCTGCTAGGGAGAAGTTCTTTGTGCCTGAATCCGATCACCTCACACTCCTCAATGTGTACCAACAATGGAAGGAAAAAAATTACCGGGGCGATTGGTGTAATGACCATTTCCTGCACGTCAAAGGCCTGCGCAAGGCCAGGGAGGTCAGATCCCAGTTGCTGGATATACTCAAGACCCTAAAAATCCCACTCACCTCATGCGGACCGGACTGGGACATTGTGAGAAAGGCAATCTGTTCTGCATATTTCCACAACTCAGCCAGGCTAAAGGGTGTGGGTGAATATGTGAATTGCAGGAATGGAATGCCTTGTCACCTGCACCCCACCAGTGCACTCTATGGGTTGGGTTACACGCCAGACTACGTCGTCTATCACGAGCTGATCTTAACAACAAAGGAGTACATGCAGTGCGTCACGTCAGTGGAGCCCCATTGGTTGGCAGAGCTGGGCCCCATGTTTTTCTCTGTCAAGGACTCGGACACGTCCATGTTGGAACACAAGAAGAAGCAGAAGGAAGAGAAAACTGCCATGGAAGAAGAACTTGAGAACCTGAGGAATGTGCAGGCTGAGAATGATAGAAGAAAGAAAGAAAAGGAGAGGGAGAAGAGAGAGAAGCAACAGCAACAGATTTCATTGCCTGGCTTGAAGAAAGGTTCTTCTACTTACCTTAGGCCAAAGAAACTGGGTCTCTAAAATGGAGTGCCATTTTTTCCACATAGTTTCTTACCTGGGAAAAAAAAAGTTGATCTTGAGAGATTGATTTACCCTAAACGAGTTTGACTGGTGTGGTTCGGGCGTAGTTTTTTGAACCAAAGAGAGACCGTGCTGTCATCGGTCGGATCGTGGTCGAACAAATTGTCTTGTAAAATTAGTATATGAAATGTAAATTCCTATGCAATAGCCTTTTTTTATTAGTAATTTGTAACTTTTTTTTTTAATTTCAACTATAACGGGAATATTACCGATGTTGAAAATAGATACTTTCAGTCCCAAATGAATTTTTTGTGCGTGAAAGTCATGAAAGTACATTTTTTGTTCTAAAAAGACACAAATTATCAATAATGATTAAACTCTGTCTTTCTTAAAAAAAATCTCTTTGGTTTAATACAGAGTACTCCGTATTTTTTCAACTAACGGTTTTATTTATTTATATCATGCTCAAATTTTTGTTTCGGTTATTCCAAATGTGTTTTAATTTGAAACACCTTTACAAAATCTTCTGTTATATTTCTTTTGGATTTGGGAATTATTTTTCAAATTTTTTATGATTGTTGCAATTCTTGCCAAATAATCGATTGTTGTGGTATTAATGGGGTCAGTTTGGATATATAAAAGGGGCGAAAGGGTTAAGACAAGGGGATCCCATATCCCCTCTTCTCTTTGCAATGGTGATGGAGTACCTGACAAGAAGTTTCCAAATGGCTGTACAGCAAGACAGGTTTAAATTCCACCCTAAGTGTGATGGATTAAAAATAGTAAATTTATGTTTTGCTGATGACTTAATAGTAGTGAGCAGAGCTGATTAAAAGTCTATTGCCTGCATTATGAGAGTATTGGATAATTTCCAACTGGAAACTGGGCTTAGTTTTAATAGAACTAAGTCCCAAATTATATTTGGGGGGGGGGGGGGGGGGG